ACAGCTTAAATTTGGCCTGTTCTTCACACCTCACTTATGAAGCCATACAATATAGCTTTGCCATTTGTGTCATTGTTTTTCAAGTCAGATTTTTTCAAAGAACACCTTGATCCATTCAACACACTGATTTAGTGATCCAGTTGCAGCAGGTAATATTTCACTGAAGATGAAGATTATCAGTGAATAACAACTTTGTTTGGCTTTTTCCTAATATAAAGCTGTAGTATGAATTCAGAAGACTTGAAATATAGTGCAGGAATCTTGTGAACTGTAATATCCTCTTTGAGGCTTGAAAGCTCCAGTCCCTATTAGTTATTAATTAGTAGTTTCATGGATTAATTTCGTCAAAAGAATCCCTTGAATGCATTTAGACAATCTTATATAACATAACAGAAAATAAGAAATATACAAATATGCATAGAAAATACATTTTCTTCACACCAGTTATTGTCCTTTTATTAATTGTACTTTTTATTTTTCAGCAATTATTATATGCATGTCTGTGGGTAGTAAACTTTTGTGAATGAATGCATTTAAATGACTGAATGAGAGCTGAAGTTGGACATTTGAGTTTTCGTGTTTATTATTTACATCTCTCACGAAGAGCACCCTCGGTAACACGTGCCTCGTCTCCTTGTTTTGCATATTATCTCCCTCCGTTTAGCTCTCTTTTATTGATACTCCCTCCTCTTTCTCATGGAACAATGTGCACAGTGCTTTCTGCCTCCTTTTTAACTCCTCTGGTGCTTTTACTCTACTCTATTATTAATTGATAAACACAGACCAATATATGTTTTTATTAACCAGTCAGTTGAAAATTATACTTAATATAGACTGACTTTAAACCCTGGAATATTCTTTAATGCCTCAACATGAACTGAGGAAGTGTGTCTTTACTCAGCTCATCCATGTCCGCTATAAATGTCTGTGATTTATCTTTATTCCAGGGAATTCTAAATGTCAAAATGTCATTAACTGAGAATTTGAATAAAAAAATACTTGAACGTGCGACTACACATACGCAACTAATAAATATTTAATAGATATTTATGAATTGCTGTAATGCTACTGTACTGCACACTGGATCGCAGAAGACATAGTTCTCCCCCTTTCTGAAAATATCTTGCCTCAGGGAAAAATAAATGCATCTCTGTCTATTTTTAGAGCAGCCGATTTTTAAAACCGTCCTTTTGAACAGCGCTGCTGATGTGAAGCAAATAAAGCCGCCGAGAGAGGCACGTGGCACCCCATGCTATTTAAAGAAGCATGTTACTGGGAGTGGGGGCCCAGGAGACACTTTGAATCCTCTACTGCGGCATCCAATGAGGTGGGAGGATCCCGGTCTGCGGACGGAGATGGGTGTGCTATTACATAACACAGCAAACATGGGAACATCCAAGGGCAGTGAGGGATGGCACTTTTGTTTTTCTCAAAGTTTTCCAGGTTTGAGAGAGAAACTTGCAGGCTTGTTGAAGAAATTTTGACTTGTAAGTAAACCGTAGCTTGAGCTATACTGTTAACAAACACATTCATCTGATGATAAAATGTTTAATCTAAACCTGCCATGATTGCGGCAGTATGTGTGGAATGAAACAAAAATAAATCCATTATTGACGGACGGCAGCTAGCAGTCTGGGTTCTTGTGCCCTTTTTTTCCAGCTTCATCCTTGTCAGTTAATTCACCAAACGGCTCTCCATTGTGTGACATGCAGCTGCAGTAAATGCATGGGTCTCGGCATTGTATATGACGGCATGTATACGGCCTGGTCGGCGAGCCCGGGGAGGAGGAGTGCAGCGCATGTGATGCCGGGGGAAGCTGAGGCTCGTTTGTATTCAAGTGCTGCAGCTGTTCCAGACGAGGCTGCAGTGCCTGCCTGGTATTTTTAATCTCCTGTTCTTTTTTTAGCCTTCAGAATATTTAGCGCAGCAGCATCAGTGTGCGCTGTGAGGGGGCGTCGTCTTCACTCTTATAACATCATTTCTCAGTTGACCAGACTCCAGCATTTAATCTTTTGATATGTGGCTCGAGAAGGTCGACGTCAAACACTTTTTTTTTTATTTTATTTTTTTATGCTTGTGATAACCTGCCAGTTACGGATGTAATTTAATTTAATTCACTGGGCTGTTTAAAGTCATTGTTTAGCTATATACTTTAAAAATAACTTGAATTACACTGACCCAAATTGCTCATCGTCAGGTTTGGCATCAATTTCTGAAGATTTTTTTCTGACATTTTCCAACAGATGATGCTCAAATTCACCATCAATCTGTGAATGTTTTCACTCAGATGCAGGATTATAGTATTTCATATTGTGCCAGGTTTTTTACAAAGTAAACCGGATAGTGCCGCTACCCTTTTATTGGAGGAACTTTTTTTCTACAAAATGTAGATTAAGTGAAAATGTTAATTTCTCAGTAAACAAAAAGTCTAACTATTAAATACACTACCTTTTTTTTTTCAGCAAGGATGCATTAAATTGATCAAAAGTGACTGTAGACACATTTATAATGTTACAAAAGATTTCCGTTTCAAATAAATGTTCCCCATTTCAACATTGATAATAATAAGAAATATTTCTTAGAGTAATTAATGCTGAAAATCCATCATTACCATCACAGGGATAATTTAGATGATAAAATATAGTAAAATAGAAAAGTTATTTTAAATTAACAATACAGTAAAAACAGTAATACTGTAAAATATTATTATAATCTAAAAAAATGTTAAATGTATAATTAAGATCAAGTAATAAAACATTTAGTATGTGTTTTGTTTATTTATCTTTGTCATTCTCAGTAAAAATAATTAAATAGAATGAGAATCGTTTTGGCCATGCAATTGTATTCTATAGTCATGATCCATTGCATATTGTGGTATTTTAATGTTTTTATCAATATATTGTGATTTTTAAATGAAATTGTATATAATTCGAATTTAAATTGATAAATGGGTGAACTCTCCCTTTAACTGTAGTAAGCAAGACCTTGACTGATAAGTTCCATATCTTATATTAATTTTTTTGCGTTAATGTTTATGAACTAATGCATCAACTTAATTTTTCTTCAAAGCATTGCCTCCATTTAGATGAAGGACAAGGTTATTTTATGAAATTCTATGTCAAAGCCATGAAATGCAAGATAATCAAACAATGAATGTAGTTTGTTCTCAAATCAAGTAATTGTACTCGTATCAAGATATTTTTACAACTTGTCTGCAGACTTGATGTGAACAGATGTGTCTTCTTTACATTGGATGTCTCGTTAAACTAAAGTACAGATGTGATGTGATACAACAGCGCTAAACACGTGAGAGCAGAGTTTTTCTGAATAAGACTCCCATTCATTCACATTTCCAGAATGTGTTGTAGGACATTGCTCAGGGTGTGTTATGAGACGGTGGCATTTCGCCATACAGCAGCAGCATTCATACAAAATTTCACTCTCTCTGCATGTCCTCACCTAGTAGTACACCCTCGGAGCGTTTCGTCCCAACCAGTGTTTTTTCCCCTCCGCTCATGTGGAGTAATGTATTGTAAATGTGCTTAAAAATAACTGGGAAAATGGTTCCCTTGCCTCTAACTGTGTGCCGCCCCCTCCCAACTGTACTCTCCGTTAGCTGCTTGCCTTTCACTCTTCCCTTTCTATTTTTAACTGCCCCCAGGATCAGTCCTCATTCGCTCCTCCCTTGCGCTGTCTTATTGTTCGTCATCCACTCCTCCCTTTCCACACTCTCTTGTGTTACTCCAGCCGGTGTATGCGGGCTGACCATGTAAATCTTTAATCAGGACTGGCATCTCTGACACCAAAGATGCCAGGCTAAAGGGTGGGGATGTTTGTCCCGTGTCCTTGATGCCCAGTGAAGAGGGAAGCATGCATGAATTCATGCTTTTCTGCTCTTTTTATAAATGTGAAGACGTTTCCCTCTTTGCTTGCCCTCAAGCTATTTTTACAGAAGTGAACCGCATATGGGGTGACAGGGCCTGTTGTCTAGGTGAAGCCAAGGGCAACTATATCTTAAAAATAAAGGTTCTTTATTGGCATTTAGACTCTGGAAAATTAAGTTTCCAAAAGGGGTTTTCACAGTGATGCCAAAAGAACCATTTTTGGTTCCCCCAAAGAACCTTCCAGCAAACTGTTCCTAAAAGAACCATTATTTTTCTTATGTTGAAGAACATTTTATTATTCTAAAGAACCATTTTCCACTGTAAAGAACCTTTTGTACAATGGAAAGGTTATGGTTGTTAAAGGTTCTTCATGGAACCATTGATGCCAATACTACCTTTACTACTATCTTACTACCTTTACTACTATCTTTTATTTTTCACCAGTTTGAATGTTTCCATGAAGAACCTTTTAACAATTAATTTCCCGAAAGGTTCTTTACACTCTTAAAAATAAAGGTTTTGTGGCGGGGTTTCACAGTGATGCAACAGAAGAACCATTTTGGGTTGCTTAAAAAACCTTCCAGTGAACAGTTCTTAAAATATCCTTTTTTTTTCTTACTTGAAAAAACATTTTATAATCTGAAGAACCTTTTTTTGCAGTTGGAACCATAGATAGATACCTATAAAAAAAACCCTTTAGGTTTAGGGGTGTAGATTATAAAACGTTCTTCATACACAAAGTTTTTACTGAAACGTTTGGGGAACCCATAATGATTTGTCTATGGCATCATTGCAAAAACCTTTTGGATCATTTATTTTTAAGGAACATGTCGTCTGTTTCCATAGTCTCATCAGCTCATACATTAGACATCCATGTTTAATATGCATCATGAGAGTCCCTGGATACCTTTATTTTTAATTCCAAAATAATACAGTTAGTTTTTATTTAATGAAATTTATGACATCTTTTGTCACAAAAGTAATAGCTTGTGTTTTAAGCACTGTTTATCAATATGCATAATTACACTTGCTGTCAAAGTGTCTTTAGACATAAGTTGAGATGATGTGTGATAATTTACATTCTCTCTTTCTCTCACTCTGTCTTTTTCCCTATAGTTGTGACTGGGGCCACAGATGGAATCGGAAAAGCCTATGCGGAGGAGGTAAGATTCCTCAGGTTTTATTTGCCCCCACCCCCATTCACGGAAATCACAATGAGTCATCAAACTAGAGGTCTCAGTCAGAGTTCAGGGAGAACTCCGCTCTCAAAGGTTTGCCTCGTACAGTCGACAACCCGGCAAGCATTTGCTACCCTACTGCTTCTCATTTCTACTGTTTGATGGCCTTTATGAAATTGCGATTTTTATTATATGCTATTTTTAAGTGATTGGAACAATACATCAGATTCTGATAACGAGATCTGATTCTGTAATAATACACATACGGTACCGATACACTCACAGCGAATTTCTTTTTCTTTCATTTGGGTGTAAAACACAGTTTGAAATACCTTTGGATCGATATACTGTTAGCAAACATCCCAACGCTGCCCACACTGCTGAGAGACGCGTTTTAGATGAATATTTAAATATGTGCTACATGTTTTCCTCTCAATAATAAAATAGACACACAACAAAAATGACAGCGGTGAGAAAACAGCATTTAAGAAAGCATCTGATCATAGTGATGTGGATATGTTTATATAACACTTAATACAATAGATTGCTTGGAATCAAGCAACTTTACAATATTAAACATGGAAAAAACAGTGTCAGGGTCTCTTTCAAGTAGAATTACGACTTCAATTTCTATTATAAAGCAACTCGTCAGTGTGTTTGTTTTTACTCAATTCTGACCTTGACTGACAGAAGTTCTTTCTTTAATCTCACTCGAAGTATATTGGGACTTTTAAAAGTAGGATCCTTTGTATAGTAATGCAGATAGAAATATTGAATGTGAATGCTAGCGTAATTATGATCTGATCATGTGTAATTTCAGTTGTTATAATATTGTATTGTTATAATGTGAAATGTTTCTGATTCTGTGCAGCTTGCTCGACAAGGTTTTGCTATAGTTCTCATCAGCCGTACTCAAGAGAAGCTGGATGAAGTGTCCAAAGCTATTGGTAGGTGCCTGCTTCGACCTGTGGGAAAACACTCTATAGACCTCATTTATGAAACACAAGCAGAATGATTTTTTTTTGCTTAAACCATTCATACATTTTCTGGAGTGTTTGTATTTGCAAATTGTTAGTTGGTCCGTAAAAAAAACACACCTGCTTCCAAACACAAGTTAATTGTGTGTAAAACATCAGAACGTGTTGTGTTCTTTTAGGTAAATTGGTGACACTGCATTTTGATGACACTATTTACTATGATAACATATAATAATAACAAAATCATTTAGTTAAAATGTGAAAAATTAATTTCACTGATAAACAAAAATTATTGAAAACATCCGCCTAGTCTATTTTATTATTTTTATTATAGATTGCTACTACTCTGAGTGCGTGTGTAGAATTTGTCAGAAAGATTAACAATTTAATTAATAAAGTTTTATTAGGCATATGGCCAGTTAAGTCTGCCAAACCTGATAAGGGAGTCCAGAAGATCCCACAGCATTCCTGTACACATAATTCATGTGTGGGGTTTATTCTAATTATGAATGAGCATGCATATTATGTGCCCTATTTATGAATGATTGGAATTCATTGACATTTACAAAGGGACAAAAATGTACACTCGCCAAGTGCGAGGAAAAATCGCCGTTGGTGAGTATATGAAATGGTGTAAAAGTTGGCCAGTAATATTTTCATGTATTCTTACGATGCAAGATTGTGAGAACATGAACGTGAACTAATGTGAACGACGCTCCGGGCAGTTGACTGGGCATTTTCTTCTTAAGTCACCAGCCATTGGCGGGTGTGGCAAAACGTTAGTTTTAGGCCCTTTATGCACACGTTTAACTTCCAAATCTGAGGGTTATGAAGCATTTGTGAATTTGGAGGAGAGATTTTTTTTTTTAGCGGCCATTTTTATGTGCAGATTTATGGTGCGTTCTATTATTGATCCGTGTCGGTTCCGACTAGGAAGACAGACGTTGCCTAGCAACACGCACCAACACGCCCCCTTTCCTCGGATTTTCCCGCTCGGATTTCGGACAACCGTGAGGACACCGAGCGAGAATTCCGATATGGAATCCAAGATGGCTGCGCCCTGTGTGACTTAGTATGAATTGTTTTTGGACCGCTTTGGTTGTTTAAATGAAGATTTTAATCACTCGTATTACTGCAATACCTTACTGCGTCCGTGTCACTGCCCGTGGGTGTGGGAATCGGTCTTGTTGTGAGTGCAATATTGAATGAAGCCTTGTTTCAAACGGGTGCTACTAACGTAGCGTTGCTAACAGAAGATAAACTAAAACATGAAATAAAGTGAAAATTTTACAAGTTCAAATGGCTGAGTTTTGATAAGCGCCTGGTACTCGGACAGTGCTACCATAGCAACAGCTTTCCGGGTGGCGTCCATGTTTTTTCTCCGACTCGGACGCGCAAAACATACCAGAAGAACGCTTGAGGTGTGGAAATGGCGTCATATCCGAGGGCCGAGTCGGTTCGTTGACTATAATAGAACGCACCATCATTGATCTATAAAAGGAAATTTCATGAATCTTTTTTTTGTAGCTCATATAATATCTAGAGCAATTTGACCAATGGTTGATATGAATGCGTAGGTGCACATGCTGCAATTTAATTTTAGCAAATGAGCTGCATGATAATGGGTTGAAATGACACCGAAACTTAGTTTACGCAATATTGATTCAAATCAAAATTCACCAAAAGATTTAAAAACAAATTTTTTGTAATTGTTATATTCTTAAAATGGCCAAATATTGTTTGATTAATCGGTCTTCCACCACTCTGTTTACCTATTACTTAAAAATACTCGTATAAAATTCTTGTTTTATGTACATTTGTGTTGCTGTAAAAAGAGAAATTTAATTCGGTCCCACTTTTTATTAAGGGTCTTTAACTTCTATGTACTGTATTAACATTTAAATGTATCATTTGATACAATGCACTTATTGTGTACATGCTAGTTTTTACATTGTATTTATATTTAAATAATACCTGCATGTAGTTCCAGCTGTAATTTCTGTAATTAAACTGTTGACCCTCACTTTACACTGTAACCCACCCTTAAGCCTAACCACACCAATCCTGTCCCTAACTTTACCCATATCCCACCTCAATAGCAGCAAAAATGTTTTGCAATACAACATGAGCACAATAAGTACATTGTACATTATTTTTCTGATCCAAGCACATAGTAGTGGAAGACACCTAATATAAAATGTGACCTTTATATTAAAAATTTTTTTTTTTCATAATTTACATATTTATATGTATAGTCTACTGTTGATTGCACTCTTTATATCACTGGCACCGCAAGAACAAAGCAAAGGCAGGGTCTCAACATTGCATGAATAGAGCGGCAGTGGCTGAATCACAGATGCACCCCCATTCATTTCTTCTTGTCCTTTGGTTGGCTGACTCCTGATCTAAGGAGGATGGCATGATTTAGAGCATGCACGCACGACGCACGTGTGTGCATCCATGTGGTTGTGTTTGCTCGTGTGCAGAGGACCTGTGGGGTACCTATTTGTGTGTGTATGGAGTGCTGCTCCTGTTTGTGAGGCAGCGAGTGTCTCCCTCTGCTAAATGAATGTGGATGTTAATGAGCGGAGTTATTTTTAGCTGTGTTAAAAGGCAGGCACTCTGCCAATTGAGCTGCCTGGCTTCTGCAGCAGAGCGCGACTTCACAGATGGAGGTGGATCCTGGAGATGTCATGGCGGGAGAGAGAGAGAGAGAGGGAGAGCATCGAATGGAGGAAATCAGCCCAGTGACCTCCAATAAACACTGGCAAATATAGTCAGGCGCACCTTTCATCAGACAGAAGTGACAATTGACAAAAGTCATCAGACAATTGACAAAAGTGTTGGGCATCATGATGACTCTTGCCTTACATGGTGTAGTTGCGTTTACACACGAGCAGCTCAAAATTCCTTGTTTTCAGTGTCTCTTATAACATTCATTTGGGAACTTGACAAGCGCCAACTATCTTCCCAATCTTGTAATGAGAAGTGCTTAAAAACCAGCTGTTTGCCAACTAAAGAGAAGCTTTATGGTCTTCCTGTGGTTTTCCGCCAAAATAAAAGCTTTTAATCATGAATAAGGACACACATATTAATATTGTAATTTTACAGTTGCTCTGTAAAATAAAGTAATTATATATTTCTTAAATAATTGTTTCTATTTTATAGTTAAATATTACAATAGATATATTTCAATACAATACGTATGTATTATGCAGCCCTAGCACAGCAAACCTGAAGCTTTAAAAAAAAGCATTTTTGATTCGCAAACATAATTTTGACCAGAAGAAGTTAAATTAGGTTTTTACAAATCGTGTTCAACCAAGTGGCCATCAACTAATTATAATGATGTCACAATGAAGACAATAATGCCCAAAATATCAGTGTACTTGTAGTTTATACTAATGATTGTGCTTTAAGTAGGGGTGTGACGATACACTCATGTCACGATTCGATACATATCACGATACTGAACTCATGATACAATATTATTGTGATACTCCAAGACATATGGTAAAAGGTTAACAAAAAATTAACTGTTGATTAAAATGCTAAAATTGGCATTAAATTGTGGGTGTAAATGAATAGGCTTGGACTTGGTGCTGGTAACCCAATGCATGGGGCAATAGTGACACCAGACTAAAAATAGGTAACTCTTTATTTCGATAGTCCACTTTAGACATTCTACTAAGTAATTTTGCAACTACATGTCAAGTAACTCTCATTAGAGTATTAGTAGACTGCTAAAACTTTATTTTGTTGGTCCCCCAACAGACATTCTACTGACTATAACTTGGCAACTTACCCGAACCCTAACACCTGACCATAACCTAACAATCTACTGACAGTCTACTAATACTCTAATGAGAGTTAGTTGACATGTAGTTGAAAAGTTACTTATAGTTAGTAGACTGTCTAAAGTGGACTATCGAAATAAAGTGGAACCGAAAAATATTCATGATTCTGAAGCTGAAAACATAATTATTTTAGACGAATATGCTTGCACTCTGTCACTGACTAGATATATTTAAAATAATGTAGGCCACTTTTTACTGGTTACATGACATTTGGCATTATCAGGACCCACAAATATTGCCCCATTGCATTATTATACATTATATTCAACATTATACATCGTAGTTTAATGCATTACTGACACTAAAACTCTGCAAACTTGAATTTTTTCACACAGTAATGTTCATTTTGGGTAAACTATACACAATACATATTGTCACTATCCACGATACATATTGTTGCATTTTTGTATTGCGATATATTGTGACACGATTTATTGTTACACCCCTAGCCTTTAAGTACTCTTTACAAAATGACAAAGTAAACTGAAAATGGTCAGTAGGCTTTTAAGATTCCTCTAGTGGTTTTTCTCAAATGTACCCTATTGATTTTACTTTCAGAGCTGTTCATTGAATCTGTGGTCTGTTGCTGATACCAACACCAAATACATCATTACAGTTTATGACCTGAGTATCTATTACTTTAATAGGTATCAGTATCCACCAGGACAACAAGTTCTCCTATTCTCCTGTTGAGCTTAGTTTTATTAAGATTTGGTGTATTATTTTTCTTTTTTTGGCTGCATTTTCCTGGTTTGACTGTCTGAGTGCTGCCATCTATACACGTCACATTTCTTTCAATAAAACAGTGCAGTGTCTACTAGAGCGAGCATGTGAATGGAGTTATTTTTGTGGTTTCTTTCCATTCTTCTCTCTCTTCCTGTTTCCTTCTCCTCTCCATCATCCATATTTAGTTAAGTACTTTTACAACAGAACATCTTAGTGCATTGCAAAGAATTGAATGATGCACTGGCTCATGTGAAGAGAAACTGCAATTTTAGTTTGTTAGGTGATATGTTTTGTTGCAATTGTTACCAAAAGGTTTAGGTGATTTATTGGCACTTTTACACTTTCATCGAATCAAACCAGTGCAAAGCAAATTTGCATCATGTTGTTAACATTCTGTGACATTCCATACAGCACCTGCATTCCTAATGTTCGGCTTTTCCTTTTCTTCCAGAGAGCAAATATAACGTAGAGACCAAAACCATTTCTGCTGACTTTGGATCTGTGGACATCTACACTAAGATTGAGTCTGGACTGGCTGGACTGGAAATAGGAGTTTTAGGTAAATTACATCTCTATTTTTTAGGTGTTAGTGGGATACTATTTGGTTAGGTTGTCTTTCTTTTCGTTCTGGAACAATATGTTCTGGGCTCAAACTTTTTTTTCTCTTTTCTTTTTTTAATGGATCAATTGTCTGTTTAGTGACACTTTAGTATTTGCTGCCAGCTATGGGAAAGTGGAAGGAACTACCTATCTTTCCACATCTCTTTCTTATAACCTGTTTTTTAATATCGCTCAAGTGCATTGAATGCTTTTATTATGTTTTTTTTAAATAATAATCTCCCCTGAAATTATTTTATGTCTCTTCCACCTACAGTTAACAATGTTGGAGTGTCTTATTCCTACCCGGAGTTCTTCCTCAACATTCCTAATGTCGACAGCGTGAGTTTATGTAGCCATTTGTAAAACACATTATGCAAAACTTCCATTTTATTAAAAAGAAGTGTAATTGTCGGTTGTTTTAAATTTTGTTTTGGTTGGTAACGTATTGACAGTTGTAATTGCAGTTCATCAACAATATAATCAACATCAACATTACATCAGTTTGTCAGGTAAGACGCATTTGCTCTTCACTTAAGTCTTAAAAGCGGCCTTTACATGCCCACTGTGACTCTGGTAACACTATGGGCCCTATCTTGCACCCGGCGCAAATGACTTTGTACACTGACGCATGTATCATTCCTATTTTGCACCCGCGCAAAGCGGACTTTTCCCTCCACAGACACACGTCGGTTAACTAAGAAATACACTTGCGCTCCCCGGGGCGGTTCAGCGCAAAGAGGCGGCGTGTTTCGGCGCAAACTTTCCCTCATGCTATTTTGCTGTTCTATAAAACAATTGCGCCACTGACCAGAAAAAACCTAGTCTAAAGTCAGTGGCGCGTTGCGCGTTGTTCATTATGCTATTTTAAGGGCGCATGCTTGACCATGATCAATGTAGCGTGTGCACAACGCGCATACACGTTGATTCTCTCATCTAAGCAGCAGTTTTCATTTTTGCAAATCATACATTATTACGATAGATAGATAGATAGAGAATTTATTATAAAAGCATACATGTAGCTTACACATTTACCCAAATTATCATACGCCTGTTTAACAGAAGTTAATTTGGGTGGGTTTCTCCATCCCCAATGTCACTTCTCTGTGTTTTACGGCCCTGACGAGAACGTTGCTCTCCTCGGCTGTGAACCGCTCCTGGCGCGCGCCTGGCAAATCCGCCGTTATAATAGGAATCCGCTTTAGAACAAGCGCCTGCTCTTAAAGGGAATGTGAGATCACGCTCTGATTGGTTTATTTCACGTTACGCCCAAACCACACCTATGAATAATGAAGCTACTTCAGACCAACCCCTTTTAGATTTGCGCCTGGCGCAAGAGGCATTTATCCCGCCGGGAAAATAGCAACAGCGCCGGGATCCGCCCACAAAGTTACTTGCGCTTTGCGCTTTGACACTTGCGTTTCAGATCGTTAAAATAGGGCCCAATGTGTGTGTAAATGACAGAAACAGTCATAACGTAGTTTTTATAATTTATAAGGTAAATCATAATTTCGTTTTTGGTCATTTTTTGTTGTTGCTCTGCTTTTAAGACTCCTTGCCTACATTTTACTAACGGTAACTGTCCCACTTCCTCTATATTGTGTCTGGGTGGGCCAAGTTTCTCAACACAAACTAAATGGGCTGTCATGTGTAAAAGTGTTCATTGTTTTGGTATTAGATATTTACAGAACTCCTTTTAGGGCTGGAGGGAACATTTTGCATCCTGAATGTTGCAAGTGTTTTCATACTACAAGAAACCATTTTATCTCAACGTATCCAGGAAAATGTGCTTCCTCATGATGTGACTGATTTGACTAATTTATACATAACTATATATAAACTAATAATATTTATAGCCCTATATATATATATAAACAGTTTTCTTGTGTGCACAATAAGTTGTGTGTAGCCAGCTGCCACTGCAGTTCTGTATTATAAAGCCTGAATTTTGAGTCTATGCTGCCTCACTCAGGATCCAAGATGTATTACTCTGCATGATGAAAATACATGTGCAATTTATAGGACAGAATTTTTCAAGGATTGTCATTGTTTTGCATATATGAAATATTAATAAAAAAAGGATCATTGGAAGTTATCAGAGTTTATAATCATGTTCTTTAATTCATTGTGCAAAAGAAACATTTTAAAACATTGTAGATCTGATTCACATGTTTTGTTCCTGTATTATTATAGATGACTCGATTGGTACTGCCCAGGATGGTTGACAGGTACATTCAGAAATCACTAAAATGTGTTTTTGTTGACATTTTAAAGTAGTGTTTGTTTGGTCATTCAAAGCAGATGGAATGATTTTCATGCGTGTTGCGATATGACTATATTTCCCACAGAAGTGTGTCATGCAAATATTTACTCGGTTATTTTTATACTGTTTGGTCATGTCATGCTTACGTGTTCGTTTTGGCCTTTTAGTTCTTGCACACTTCAGTCCAAGAATCATGATCATTTTTTTTTACTTTTACATTTTCTCATTGGCTATTATAAATATAAATAAATATAAATGCTTCTTGATAGAAACTGTTAATTATTTCTTGTGGCAGAGGCTGACTGTGTCGAACCAAAATGAAACGAATAATGGAATATTGTTAAGTACTAAGTTAAAGTCTTTAGAAGAATTTTCCTCAGTTTTGAGAATAAAAGCCATACCGAAATTATCTGTGTAGCTCCTCCCGTCTAGAACCCTAGAGTCTGGTGTGCACTTGTACATAATGCAACAGTATGTACACTGGCACGGGCACCGGTTGCCATAGCAACAGGGATGCAAGAATCCGTTAGAAGGGATAATTCTGTGCTGTCAAAATGGTCAAGTGAAAATGGAACAAATATAAGGGACATTACATGCACTTTTGTCTGTATTAAACATGCTCATGTGCTGTTCTACAACAGTTTGAACATTGTGTGAAAACCCCCTGACTCTTTCTAGGTCTAAAGGAGTGATCTTGAATGTTGCCTCAGCGAGTGGCATGTACCCAGTTCCTCTCCTCACCCTCTATTCTTCCTCGAAGGCAAGTCATTTTTCTTTTTTTTTCTCTCTGCCATGGATCAGGCCTTGGAAATCTTTTCTTTTCTTGCTAATGTTCTCAGAGGAAGTTTCCTGAAATCTCATTGTGTTTAGCAGCACTATTTTGACCATATTAGTTGTTGATTTTAGAATACTAGAGCAGCTTGATGCTTTGGATTATGTGAAGGTTACTTTCATGATGTTGAAGGACATGCATTAGATGATTATTCTCACTCCTCCAGGCCTTTGTGGACTTCTTCTCCCGTGGACTTGATGCTGAATACAAAAGCAAAGGGATTATTGTACAGGTGAGTGAAAATTTATGACAGAGTAGTTTTAAACCACTTAACTGTCACACGAAAATACACTATCCAAACTTAAAGGTTGTATCAGCGATTGTGGGTGACGTCACTTCTGTTTGTGTTTGAAGCGAGATCCCAAACAAACCAAGTTAGCTCGCCCCTCCCTCCTGTTTCGTGCATCATGGAAAAAAAAAAGGAAGCAGCAGTATGATAAAACGTACCAGAATCAGCCATATAGCTACAGATCTAACGTTATGGTGAAAACTCATGGTAACAACAGCTATCTGGAATAATATTATAACAGCTTAATATTATTATTCGGCTAACGTTAGTCCTGAACGTAGGCTAGTGTTATTGCTAATAGTACAATGTGTGGGCTAGACATATCAAAGTAGACACATATAACAAACGTAACTCACACACTAAATTCCTACAATCTGATATTCGCTAGAGCCATCCAAGTTTAGTCGAGCTTCACTCATATTTTTTAAAGAAGGATATTTTCACACACAGTTCACGTCTGAAAAAGTCAGCACTAGAAGCTACTCACCTGTCCAGAAGAAACAGTGCAACCTCAGCGTCCGATTAAATTTTTTTCAAATCTTTAAGCTCTCTCCACCGTTCAAAAGCCTTCCCAATAATTATTCGTTTCTTTAACGAATAACGACGGTTTACCCTCGCCCTAATCCTCCTCCTCTTCTTGGGGATTGCCTCTTCCATGTTCACTGTATCTGGTCCGTTGATAGACGCGCTGGCTTCTTCTTCAGCTCTGACTTCGCGTGCAGGCACCGTGCACGAGCGCAAAAACAAACAAAACCCGCCCCAGTCGGTGATTGGTTGGAACACTGTTTATTTTGGTTTTGAGTGGTGGTTGTACCCATTTGTTTTTGTGTGCAGATCTCAGAGCCTAGGCTGCCTACAGAGACGCGTTTTTTTGACAGCCTGCTTATGGGGCGGGCAGCTAGCGGATCGTTAGGAAAGATTAGATGAATGTGATCATTTATGTTTGGGCCTGAAATCGCTGATGCAACCTTTAAATGGTTGTAATTCAAGAATGCGTTTGAATGTTGTAGACCTAAGGTTGATCTTGATTTAAAGAAGACACTTGGCAGATTATTGTAGATGTGAAATAAATTCACACAAAAAAGTTATAGAAGTTTAAGTTTATGACAATGTAAAAATATTATGTTTACAAGACATGTTTTACTCTAAAACTGCAAGATAATCTAAGTAAAAAAATCTGAATAAGCTGTGTTCCAAATTTTTGCTTGATATCTCAAAACATGAGCTTTCAGTAAGATTTTATTTGGGCGCAGTACCAAACTTTTTCACTATGACAACTAAGCTCCATTACTGTCCATATAAAGGCGCCTCCATTTCCATATGGTTTTGAGTGATCTGAACCATATATTTCCATAATTTTCATACAATTTATGAAATAGACATCCTATTCAGAAGGAGTATGGGCAGTTTGGCAGTGTTTTGAATTTGACCTCGAATAAACTATTATTTTTTCTTTATATTTAAAATGTTTTCAGACCTTTTTTTTATTTAATGGATGTTATCTTTTTAACTCATGAAAACAATCTGAGGTTTCTACCAATCTTTCACTATTTTTCACGTTCATCGCCATTTCAAAATAAAGGTCGGAACACGCCTTTAAGTATGTAAATATTCTTGTTTCAAATTAACCCTCTACTGCACAGTGTTGCCATATGGCAACATACCCTTTTTTTTGGACATTTCTTGAAATTTGAAAATAAACATGAGCTCTGATTGATCTTAAATTCATAATAGAACCCGGTGGTAACCAATGATATGCTTTGATGACATCACGACACTACACACACCCTTGCAACGTCATTCTTTTCACACACTTTTGATGACTCCAGCTGCTGAAAAAGTGCTCGTGTATATGTGAAGATTTTCCTCATTTTTTTCATATTTCTTCGGAATAAAAAAATACATCAAGCATCTGGGATAAGTTCTAATCTTTTTTCAATCATTGTCACATTGTTTTGATACTTATATTACCTTTTTATTGAATAAAATAGGTATGTTGCCATATGGCAACATTGTGCGGTAATGGAACAATATTTTGCCCATGCTAATGCAGAGTAGCTTTGTATGAATGACAATGTATGGATGCACTGATATAGTTGGATGGTTGTATTCTACTCATATATTTATATATATTTGTATATATTTATAAAGTAGAGTAAAAGTAAAGTATAAAAGTAAAATATATATCCGTCTTGACCGCTTTGATCACTGGCCAGAGATGGGTGCACCAAAAGGAAGGTGCAAGAATCCTGGCTGCAAGGGCATCGTCAGAGGGGTTTGCTCTAAGTGCAAGGTGCACCTCTGCCTTAAAGGTAGGGTATGTGATTTGCAAAACAGCCGGCAGATTTTGAAAATACACAACTCAAAAGGTCCTACCTTCTTTCCTCCAACGCTGGCCCTGACTCCACCCACTCCACCCATTCGAAGAGGGGGAGGGGGGTATGGTACGACCGTTTGATTGACGCACTTACTGTCCAATGATTCTAGGTGGTCTTGGAAATGATTGGCTGGAGTTTTTCGAGTCCTGCCCGTTCCACAGATGATTACATTTTTTAATTTTCATGTCAGTGTTTCTAACTCAGTGGCTGTAAGTGGGTTAGGAATAGGATTTCAAGTGATTTTGAAAAAATGGTCAAAAAAGAAAATCACATACCCCACCTTTAACGGAGAGAACAACTGCTTTAAGGCGTTTCACATCGAGTAGTTTCACTTGAACAGTTCTTATGAGTTTGCGTCAGATGTTTTGTAAATGTTGTTGAAATAATCGTTTCACATTGAGTAGTTTCACTTGAACAGTTCTTATGAGTTTGCGTCAGATGTTTTGTAAATATTGTTGAAATAATACTTTAAAAATTAGTTTCATATTTTGTACACAAAGCTCTTGAAAACATTTTAAATAATAAAAACAATTTCATTTCTAAAAGACAGGTCTGTAATCATCTATGAATTTCATATCATTTTGGGAGAAAACGCATCAGGCTGTTCCATTGTCGCACAATGTTGCCATATGGCAACGTACCCAAAAGTACCCCCTCCCAAAAAAAAAAAAAAAAAAAAAAAAAGAAATGTTAATTTGAGTCTATTTTATATATAAAAAAACACTGTAAATTTTTTTTCCATGATTGCATAATAATGCGTGCAGTAGAGGGTTAATAAATTACTACTCTTGTGTAATTTACTTTGAAAATCAGTTACCAAATATGAAACCTAGAATTTTTTAAGCTTTGTAAGCTTTCAAATGTTATATAGTTTGTCAATATTACTTTAGGTTTTTACTAAGATATTATTGTTTTAAATAATGTTTTAAGAGCTATTTTCAGAGTTCAGACCTCACTATATTGATGGCGTTTTATTACTCAACATGTGAGTAAGGTATTTTATTAAATGGATAAATTACCATATGTAGCTCTCTAACAGAGTTCATTGTAAAGCATTATCTATTGTAAAGGGTCATAATCATCCGCACAGTCACTCAGAGCCGAAGCGAAACCAAAACAATGTTCTTCCGCAAAATACATGGAGTTTTGCTTTTTTAACGCTAATGGGCCAAAAGTTACATAGTGTACCTTTTAAAAATGCAACTGATGATTTTAAGTGAAATTCCATTTGAGATATACTGTAGAGTGTTTGGGTTTTTCTACTGGTGATCTGTTCTGGTCACCCAGACTTAGACTAGTTCAACTACTTACAGTGATGAAGTGTCTTGTGTATCTTCTTGAAGAGCGTGCTGCCGTTTTTTGTGACAACCAAGCTGAGCAAAATCAAGAGGGCGTCTCTCGACATCCCCACTCCAGAACGCTACGTAAAAGCCCAGCTGAGTACCGTAGGATTGCAGACTCAGTCTAACGGTTACCTCCCTCATGCCGTCATGGTGAGACCCTCTTAAAATGCCTTCATCTTTAATTCAGTTTTCAGGTCTACAGTGAATTCACGGGGTCAGTAAGATTTTTTTTTTTTTTTGATGTTTTTGAAAGAAGTCTCTTATGCTCTGCCAGGCTGCACTTATTTGGTCAAAAATACAGTAAAACAGTAATATTGTGAAATATTATTACAATTCAAAGTAACATATCTTTTTTTAATGTATTTTAAAATGTATTCCTGTGATGCAAAGATTAATTTTACGCACCATTTCTCCAGTCTTCAGTGTCTCATGATCCTTCAGAAATCATTCTAATATGCTGATTTCTTATTATTATCAATGTTGCAAACAATTGAGCTGCTTAATATTTTTGTGTAAAATGTGTAATCTGGAAATCTTTGTAAATGTCTTTACTGTCACTTTTGATCAATTTAATGCATCCTTGCTGAATAAAAATAGCATTTCTTTTAAAAATATCCTACTGACCCCAAACTTTTGAACAGTAGTGTAAATCCTACAAACTATGCTTAAAAGGACAACTTAGAATGATAGAAGCTTGTCCTATAAACTATAGTACTAAAGCCGAATGTTTGCGTCTTCTGGATTCTGACAGTCTAATAAGTCTGTTATTATGTCATTGCTGCAGGGTTGGGTGACTACTGCTCTGCTTCCTGCAAAGCTGCTCAACAAATATGTTATGAGCATGGGGTTGTCCCAGCGTGCACGCTATTTGAAGAAACAGAAGCAAGGTTAGAGACAGAAAAAAGGACGGACAGAGGGATGAAGGAATGGTGTGATTAAATGAGGGACCAGCAACAAAAAAAAACTTAATCTCTCTTCCCTTTTGCTGTCAGGGCCAAGAGCAGTCACACCAAACTGCTCCTGATAAGTCTGTTTTGGTACAAATCAAGCAATGTAATTTCCAGACATTAGAGTGCTGTGTTGAGTCGTTGCTAACCAAAAATGATTTGCTTGAACAGCCTTTTTGCTGATTAGCTCGATTGGACAACCACAGAATAGTTGAAGTCTCTGTCTCTGTTCTTTGTGTCCTAACAGTCACTAACAGCATCGATCAGTACAGTTTGTTTGGTTTTCTTTAATGTTTAGAGAGAGTTAATTAGAAGTTCTCTGGTAATAGTCATCTGATGAACATAAATAATGAAAAAAATTTTCTTAACCTGAATGAAATGTCAATTTGAGCAGCACTTAGCAACAACCCCAATTACCATAATCAAAATATATATGCCTTAAATTAGGCAGGTTGCCTACAAACAATTTGAAAATTGCATCTGGAACGTCTACAAAATGGTGCATTTATTTGTGGTCCATATTTGCTTTTTTTCTTCTTCTTCTTCGTCTGACTCAGCAGTTGTTTACCAACGAAAAATGCACTACATTAAATGTGTGCCCATCACAGATGGCACTATGCATTCAATCGCCAGAGAATCTATTTTTGAAAGGAGTTTGTTGTGGAAGGTTTGTGTATTGTTCACTTTGTAATGCTTGTGCTGCTTGGGTTTTGAAGAATTTGAGGAAGTGAATTTCAAATCTGGCAGCAGTTTATTTGAAAGCTGAGGCTGTGGTTCCGTTATTATGTGGTCAATGATAATTCAGTATTTTCTCCAAAACAACACTTAGAATTCCTAAATGATTGGCACTTTCAGGTTTCATTTTGAATTACTTTTACAAAAAAAGTCTAAAGCCTGCAGCAGCAGACTAAACGCAATCCAAATGCCTGCTTGTGAATTAATCTTGCATTTCAAATAATAATAAAAGAAATCTTTCTAATACCGTTTCTCACTCATGTTTTTGATGGATTTTTCATACACAAAAAGGGAACGTTAGTTGACCGTAATATTATATATCAGATAAGTGTGTTTGTGGTAAATTGATAAAGATGGAAGGTCTATAGTAAGACCAATATTGTCACGATTTTGGCATGCATGGCTTAATTCCCTTAGTACATCATGCTTTCTCATGATTTCAGAATTTTTATAAAGTATCTAATGCTCAGCTAGGCTGCATTTATTTGAAAAATGATTAAAATAACTGTTTTCTGTTTGAGTGTATTTAAAATGGTCATTTATTCCTATAATGGCAAAGCTGGATTTTCAGCATCATTACTCCAGTCTTCAGTGTCACATGATCCTTCAGAAATGCTGATTTGCTGCTTAAGAAACATTGATTATCAATGCTAAAAAAGCTTGTACTGCCTAATCTTTTTCAGAGACCTTGATACAATTTTTTTTTTAGGATTTTTTGATGAATAGAAATGAATTTATATAAATGTAAACATATTTGCAAATGTAAACAATTTAATCCATGCTTACTGGCTAAAAGTATTGATTTATTTTAAATAAATTTCTTACTGACCACAAACTTTTGAATGGCAGTGTACTTTGATTACTGACTTAGAAATAGTGCATTATATTTATTTATTCACTCTTGCTTTCAACATTTTTCAAAGTCCTTACAAATGAGATTTAAAATCCAAGATTTCCAATCGGATAATCAAAGTAGCAATGAGAAGTGTGTATTTTCATCCCCTCTGGGATTGTGTAATTGGGCTACCTTCCAATTCCAATGAGTCAGGATGGCACTCCTGAGTCCTGTCCTCGCACAGTTTTCCCCGTGCCCTTTCTCGCCTATGTCTTCTCCCCTGCAGGCAGGAACCATCTGTGTCCAACACATGTCCATGCCCTTTGCATTCAAATGCTACTAAAATTGTAATCTTTGAGCCTCGGTACAAGTGAATTCCTCCCTATGTTGTATAGCTTTGTAGCGGTGTTATAAGACAATCTGCCCGGTGTCACGTCCACCTCCTCTGATACATGTGCACGATCTCTTATGTTGTGCCAAATCCTCGAGTGCCATCCCTCAGCCCCCTCCCGGTTGCACGCCGCATGCGTGTTTGTTCCAGGCAGTAGTGGGGGGGTGATTCCGGAGGATAGGAATGGAAGTCGGAAGCGTGACAGTCCTGTGATGAAGGAGGAGCCGTGAGGAGTGAGTGGGAAGAGAAGGCCTATATAAACCCTCACAGCAGCTCTGGATCACAAACACTCAAGACGGATACAAAGCAAGAGCAGCAAACTGACTTGAAAAGCTTCTCTCCTGTTTCTTCATCTACTTCTCCCAGCAGAAAGAGTGGATTTGGAGGACTGACTCACCTGGTGAAGAACTTTGTTTTGAAGAGGAATTTGAAAGCGCCTTCATCACTCATCCAAACCTACAACCTCACAGGATGTCCGCACATGCAGTGATGATGAGCCACTTGAATGCTATGGCTGTTTACCGGATGTCTTTGGCTATGGAGGAATTCCCCCAGCTCCTGGGGTTGTCCAGGACCCACGACTGCGCAAGGGCCCGGTCCGTGCTGCGGGTGAAGAGCAAGTTCAGCTGCGGCAGGATTGCAGAAGAGGTGGATGAGGAAGGACGGTTCGCAGTGGAGGAAGACAAAGCACGGCGCTCCTTCTTGCAGTCGCTTGAGAGTCTGCGCAGATGCACGCAAGGACGCCAGTAACTCGAGGAGCCTGAAGGCCAGCTTGAACCTGTATGGACTGAGAGACTGAGATTCAGTGTAGAATGGAGACTAAGGGAACAGTCAGGGTAGATGCTTCACAATGAAGCCAGACTGACTGACCCAAGCTGTTTATACCTACCAAAGATGGGTAATTTGCTGGTTCATACGTTTCTGTTCGGATTTTTTTTTCCTGCACTAGAAAATATGTGGAGCATGCTACTTACTGGTACTGTTAATACTGGAAATGTGTTGCATGTTTGTCCATCTCCTAAGAAAAGCTGTGGAGGTAAAGGGCCACACATTAGCACTATTGTGGTTTTACCAAAGGCAAAATCTATTTTAAGACTGTTTTCTCACAGATACATTTGAAAATAACTGCTTTATATTTTGTCTCAATTTGTCTTTGAAATGATCTGTGCAATAAAGTTTTGAAAATATATTGATTTGTTTTAAGAGTCTTTCATTTATAATCAACATTTACGCAAATGAGTTTGGGTCTTCTGCTTTTATGCTCAAACATTTTCTGTATTATTACAATGTATTAAAGGGTTAGTTTACTCAAAGTGAAATTCTGTCATTATTTGCTCACCCCATTTCATCCATACTATGTAAGTCATTGGTAACCAAAACTGTTTGGTTACCATCATTCTTCAACATATCTTGCAACCCGATCACACTAAATGCGTCTCTATAGCACGCAGTGTGTTTATCGTGTAATTTATACGCGAAAATGAGTTTTTACGTGCATAGGATACGCATGGGTTGGTTAGGGTAGGTTTAGTAGTGGTGTGGGGTGCGTGTGTATTATACGTTTGGGTAGAATTAGTGGTGTGGGGTGCGTGTGTATTACACGCAAATGAACTGCGTATGATATGCACGTAAAAACTCATTTTCGCGTATAAATTGCACGATAATACGCAATGCGTGCTATAGAGACGCATTTACGTGCAAGCCATTGGTTTGGATCAGCATGAGTAAACAATGACTATTGGGTGAACCCTTTCAGTGTTTCATTCTCTATAATATTCTTAGAAACAAAATAATCATTGCAATGTGAAATAAGCTTTTGAGCTATACGTAACAGCATCACACTCTTTTCAGGTGTGATTCTTGTAAGTTATAGTCGGATGATGTTTGTGCACTGCAATTTTTAAAGTGGCCCACAGATTTTTAGCTGATTGGAAATCAGGACTTCTTGGTATAGGCTGGGTGGGTTATTGTTGGCATTCGCTTTTTGTTGCTTAATTTAACCTTTTCTTGGGATCAGGACATTGAGCTTCTCTTCATCTGAGACTCCTCTCAAGCTTCGGTTTGTAGATGTCAGTGTGTTCTGCCCCGTTTACAGACTTTAATGCTTGCCTCCAAACGTTGTTTAATTTCTTCTATGGAAGACAAAGGATTTATTTAGCAGAATGTCCAATTTGCCCTTTTCCATGTGAAGTCAGTCCTGTCAGTCCAAACAATTGTAATATCTTCACTAACAGCTATCTGATAGTTAGGTGGCTATTTGTTTTTGCTAAAAAGTGATGATAATCCTTTATCCAAATGTAATAACTTGCTGCCCCTTTGAAACTAACTTTGCTTTTCAGTTGAAGTCATGTCTTGCTTTTCAGCTCCACTCACTCGGCTCCATTAATGCTCACTAAACGTAATTCTAAATTTCTCTCATTCAATGTTTCACTCACACGTTTGTCACTTTACTGAAGAAAAGAGGTTGTGAACTTTTCATGTTGATTTTAAATTGCTGAAAAGGTTTCCCTCCACCATACACTACCGTTCAAAAGTTTGGGGTCGGTACGATTTTAAATACTTTTAAAAGAATTCTCTTCTGCTAACCATGGCTGCGCTTATTTGATTAAAAATACAACAAAAATCAGTTATAGTATTAAATATTATTCCAGTGTAAATCAGCTGTTTTCTGTGTGAATATATAGTAAAGTGTAATTTATTCCTGTGATCAAAGCTGAATTTTCAGCATCACCAGTGTCAGTGTCTTCAGTGTCAAATGATCCTTCACAAATCAGTATAATATGAGGATTTGATGCTCAAGAAACATTTATTATTATTAGCAATGTTGAAACAGTTGTTGGTCTGTCAGTTGTACAGTTTTTTTTTTTTTTTTTTTTTAGGATTCTTTGATGAATAGGAAGTTCAAAAGACTTTTGTAACATTATAAATGTCTTTACTGTCACTTTCGATCAAATTAATTATTCCTTGATAAATAAAAGTATTGATTTCTTTCCTCCAAAAAATAAAATTCTCACTGACCCCAAACTTTTGAACGGTAGTGTATATTTTCTCAATCA